TTACGTAATAAATATAATTTTAGATAAATGACATTGATAAATCGATTGTATCTCTACATTCGGTAGACGTTCTAAACAAAAAAATTATTTTTGGTAATTTCAAAACAACTTCATAAATATCGAAAATGTCAAAAAAATATAATATGCGTAATTTGTTAATACCAATATAAACAACAATTTATGTATCTCACCGTACACATGTATCACGTCAGAGATTCACATGTATGTGTACATATATTAATCATATCTTTCATATTTATTAAAAGAATAGAAATTAAATATCCTTTCCCGAAAATATTTCATTATATTAGTTCATTAATAAATTCCGTGTTTTCTAATTTTATTTCTAGGTTGTCGACATCCGATCTTTTAGTGTTGCTTATTCAGGTTGCGAAACACAATAATTCCTTGTTCAGAAATCGCCAAGTACACTCGGCTCTTTTAATAATGCAGTTTTCCATGATTTCTTCGTTCGCCTCTAGCTTTTCTCTACCGCGAAGTTCGTACCGATGATATTTCGCTTCTTTTTGTATCAAAAAGTATATATCTACAAACATTTTTGCATTAAGCGTGTCAACGCTAAACGATGCGGATAATTTTAATCGTAATCCTTATGAGTTAGCACAGTATTCCTTTAATTTTTGGTCTCGCTTTTGTAACTTACGCCTAAATATTGTCTCATTAAAAAACTAAAGTTCTGGTTTACAAAACGCGATACACGCAAAAGCGAAAGACAAAGCTGACGATCTTATCTTAATGATAAATGCGCCACAATGGAAATAAATTGAATCTTCTTTAAATTGATGCAAAGAAGATTGGCTACGGCTATAAGATCCAACCTGTAGCTCTTATAAAATATTAACGTATTTCATAGCCATTAGCTATACAATTTTTAGTATGTAAATGTTGATACTTGACTGTCAATGAAACAAAGTGTATATCAACTTTCGTGATATGTTTCAACACCAATATAGTTCGAATTTCGTACGGATAAATGACTTGTCTAAAATATAATTCTCACGACTTCAAATATTGTTGAAAACTGTAAGTTTGATTTTGTATTCATTCGGAAAATTCGGTATCGAGCAATAAATTGGTCTGAAGAAACAATATCTGGAAGACATAAAAGACATTTCATTGGGACCGATTAAGGCACTGAATGTGTTCCAACGGTTACAAAGGTCAATTGTTACATCTCTTTTGCCATGCCATTGGCTCGTGGTAAAGTGTTAAGAAAAGTTGGAAGACTTCGAAGATAATGAATAAGACAACTACTACTACAATATTTGCATCAGTAACGCGAAAATGTTTAGCCAATTTAAGGAAACATTCTTTCGTTTTATATTTCATGTTCCAATTTCGGAGGATACAAAAATTGATATTACAATAGGTGAATTTGAAATGCTTACATGTTAGTTTCAATTAGGGATCAGCGAATATCACAGGAGCTTAGTTTTTTCATTGGAGCAAAATAAAGGCACTTGCAGAATAATCATTACTCAAAAAGATAAGTGTTTCAGTAATTATTAGATTTTAGATCTTTATACAATAACAAACTTTTAAAAATAAGTTTCCAAAATCCTAAACTGAATGAAAACTTATTTTTTGAAATTTTTGTTTTAGTTTCAGACTTATTTTGTTATGTATTATTTGATCGACTGCATTAATACGTACAGTCTAAGAAATATTAATAAGATGCCTTGACTAATTTGATGTTTTTCAAAACTTCAATCTTAAAAATCAATACGCTTCTGCACTTTTTATAATTTATAAACAAATTTCAGATTTCTTTAAGGTGTTCAAGGTTATAAAATAATTACACGAATTTAGAATTAACGATTTATCACAACCACATGTTTCTGTAATTGTTGCTATATAGGTAGAGTCTTATATGTATTTATAAGAAGGATGCTCTTTTGTATTTCTATTATAAAATGCACAAAAAGTGAATCACTTAAAACAGGATCTACAAATATATCCGTCTGGTTTAATGACGTGAGAAAAATTGAAAAAGAAATATGTTAAAAAGCAAATTTTTCACAACGCGATATATTTTTAAAAACGAAGAAATCATTATTTGCTCTTGAATACATTAAATGTATTAAAAATTACATAATTTATTATAATATTTCAAATAAATATATATTTTTCATAAAAATTTTTTCACATCATTAAATATAACGAAAATAATGTCGCCTTCAATTTTACATGATTCACTCAACAAATGTGCATCAGTCTCATTCGGAACAATAAATTTACAAAATCTGCAATCTATATGTTTGCCTAATTCTTGTAATATTTATTAAGAGTTTCAAAAAATTTATATTTTTAAGTATCACTAGTTACTCAGTTATTTGAAAATCGACAAACTGTTATTTCGAAGTATACGTGTAATGGATGGAATCAGCGTATAATAATACGAATAGTATTTGTGGATGTTAATATTCAGACTTCGATTCATGAATCACGGATAACTGCCAAATTAAAGATATACTATGCAATTGACATAACATCTATACGCAATGGGGAGAATATAAGCACAATTACGTATTAGGCCATAAACTAAGTTTCTGCTTTTATGATTCTAATTTATCAATTCTAAAACCCTGATTTTTTTGCAGTAAAATTGCAACCTTGATAGATCGATCAGACAAGATAGTTAAGAACGATAGAAATTACATAAATGACTAGAAAATGTTGTTTATATTTTTTTTGTAACGATAAATATATTGAAAGGCGTAGACTTAGCTTTATGACCTAACAACGACCTTGACTTTTACGCTCTTTTGCGTAATTTTAGCGCATTACTTGTGTAGCAGTACACAGCCGATTTAATAGTGAATGGAGCAACATAGAGGAAGTAACAGAAATGCATTAGGGAAAGTCCCTGAGTTTCGAATATTACACTGAATAGTACTGTTTATCATCACAATTATTTTTGATGCTAATAGTTGAACAGTGTATATGCTGGTAATTATGAATATAATCTAAGTAAAAAGATCGGGACAAATATAATTACAATAGAGAGAGAAATCATAGCAATATAATATAAATACATAATATCAATTCCAAATATATAATTCTAATAATATCTTGAAATAAAATATATATGAATTACTTTCATAATAATCAGCATAAGTAGTTCCGAAGTTATAAACCATTGAAGTATTAATTTATACAAACTCATAATACCCGTTACTTCTCTACTTCTAGATGTCTTTAATCTAACATGGTAGTATCAAGAAAGATTGATATGTTCATATTGAAAGTTCTAATACTCATGTTTACAT